TGTTTCAAACCTCTATCCCTCTCCCTTCCTCTCTGTAAAAAATCAATAAAATATATTTTTTTTAAAAAAGGATGGTTGCTTTCATGCTGCATAACCTGACATAACAGCGATCTGCTCACTAAAGTGCACCCCAGCCAGCAAAAAGCTTGGCACCTCCACTTTCCCTCTTTGGAAACAGAGGAGGAGTTTATTAATTGTTGCTATTAAAAAGTCAGGCAGCTTCTCAGTTGAGGGGGCTTTCAGCATGTCAGCCTCCAGCAGCAGGACAGCCCCTTGTGGATGAATTAGGCAGGATGCAATGGGTACAGGAGAAGGTACTGCAATGTCTAGTGCCTCCCCCTGGTGGAGCCAAATGGTAGGGCACTCAGGAGATACTTGCTTACACATAAACATCAACACGTTTTGCTTGAACTAATGGAATGGTGGTAACCAACACAAAATTGGAATTAAGTAGGAAACATAAATGTGTAAAGTCAGCCCCGTGCAGACTAAGTTACAAAGAAAGTCCAGGCCTTGAATAAAGGGATAACTACTCAACTCCTGCTTATTGTTATTTCAGGGAGTGCAAGCCAGATCCTTCCATATTTTCCAACAGAATCCAGAAATCTGTATTTATGTGGGGAAAAACTATTTATGAAGGCCAAACAAACATACCTGAAGGTTGTTTTGCACTCTCTGGGCTAACGTAACAGGCCCACACACCAAAGCCAAATTTGTGCACATGGAAATGTTTTCAGGAATACTACTCCCAAGAAGAATGTACTGGATTCTCCCTCTACCCATAAAGATATAACAAGCCCAAGAGGATGAAGGGAAGCTACCTGCCCAGCTCTACCGGGCTGGGACTAATTATAATAAGCAAAATATATTATGCAAACAAAACTCCATACACCTGATGTTACTGTCTTAGCAAAACCTCCAACGCACCCTTTAGAGCACTACTCTGAATAAATGCAGTAGAGAGCGATCTGAAGGGGAAGAATGATTACATGAGAAACTACTCCCATGTATTTGCAGCACACATATGGATCCCACTGTTATCCCTGTAGAACTCCAACACTCTGCGCTGACAGAAGCGATTACATCTTTTCCAGTTCTCAGTGCATATACAGAGCACACAGCCTGTTCTACACCATTTTGTCTCAGAGAGAGAGATGATGGGGGATAATTTACATCAGCCTAACTGGCACTAATTTGACCTGCAGTGGGAGAAGGGCCGCCTGTCAAGCGTACTCCCCTGGAGGACCTAGAGGTGCGCATCCTCCCCAGCTTGCAAACAATTCCCAAGACAAATAGTATAGGAAACAAGAAACTCTTTATGCACTTACTAGTATGCCTGCTCTTAACCATCAAAATAGTCTTTCAAGAGCCAATACTTTGGCTCAGTGGATAGAGCATACGCCTGCGGGCCAAAGGGCCCTGGGTTTGATTTCAGCCAAGGGCACACCGTACTTTGGTTGCAGGCTCCTCCCTGGCCTGAGCCCTGGTTAGAGTGCATGCAGGAGTAAACTAATCTATGTGTTTCTCTCACATCAATGTTTTTCTCTGTCTCTCCCTCTCTCTCCCACTCTCTCTCAAAGATCAATGGAAAAATATCCTCTGGTGAGGCCAATACTTAGGACATCTTGTCCAAAGTAGAGGGAGAGGAGCCCCCTACCTAGTTCTTCTGGGCCCTCATTATCATACCTTCAATTACTATCGCACCTAACTCTCTTCCAAATCACATTCACATAAAGCAGAGATTGGTAAACCACTGCCTGTCAGCCAGATCTAGCCTGCTGCCTGTTTTTGCACTGCCCAAAAACTAAGAATGGTTTTTACATTTTTAAATAGCTAAAAAAAAATATATCAAAAGTAGACTATTTTATGACATATGAAAATAGCATGTGTCCATAAATAAAGTTTTGTTGGAACACAGCCACACTCATTCATTTATATATTGTCTATGGCTGCTTTCATGCTACAATGGCAAAGTTCAATATTGCAACAGAGACTGTATAGCCTACAAAGCCTAAAATATTTACTATCTTGTCTTTCACAGAAAAACTTTGCCAACCCTTAGAGAGGATAGAATAGGGATTACACAGAGTTCACAGAGGCTCAGGTTGAGCAGATGATTCCTCTCTATTCCACCCTATCCTCACTCTCATATTGCCAAAGAGAGAAATGAGTTTTCTAAATACTCCTAAAGACAAATAAATCAAATATCTAACTGTTACTGCCTTAGAGTGGGGGAAGAGATATCTGGATTCTCCCAATCATTTAACAAGACCCAGAAGACTATATGTGGCCCAGAGTCAGTAAGCAGAGAATGCCATACCTGGAACCAACTTATTATGTCTCCCTCATATAAGGCTGTTGAGAAGAAAAATACACAAACACCTCCAGGTGGCAGATATTCAGAATTACTAAAACATAAGTAAGTCCTTCTCAATCTTGAAGAGCACAGTCTTGAAAAACCCAGTGCTAGAATTTATTGCTGAGAACCTTAAAATCTTATGGGAGAAGGAAAAAAAAACAAACCCACAGCATTAGGAATCCCAAATCTATGAAATTGTAAATACCTATAAAATTATGTTCACATCTTAAATGAATAAGAATGAATACTATATAATTAACCTTCATTTATCATTAACAATGTTCATACTCTTTGGCCCCATCAACTGTGCTTCTAAAAGTTCATCCTCTTTAGAAACACCTGCACAAGTACACAAGGTACTGCAGCATTGTTTGTGAAAGCAAAAAACAGAAACAACCCAGATCCTACCAACAGAGAATGTTTAACTATGGTGCATCCAATTGTGGGAACACAATGCCACTGTTAAAAGAATATAACAGATCTATATAGATCAACATGGAAAAATGTCCAAACAGTAACTGAAATGTGTAAATAAATGATGGACAGAAGATTTAGTATGATAGATACCATTTTTTACAAATAAAGGAAAAAATTCTGGAATCAACACAAATTGTTAACAGTGGTTAACACTGTTGAGGACATTCACTTTATATATCACACATTTCTGTAATGTTTGGATTCTTGAATTTGTATTAATTTTGTAAGTAGAAAAAACAGGCACCTCAAATTTTCCATTTATAACCCCTTGCTCACTGTAAATGTTTCAGCCTCTTCCTTCTGCACAGTTTCAGTAACATGCCATCATGGTTGGGAGGTAGCAGGGCTTTGTTTCAAATATGCTACTAAGAGGGTTTTTTTTTTTTTTTTTATTTAGCAACTCTTCATTTACATATTTAAGGCCTATCTAACTCTAACACACTCATTGACTCTCACTTTCTGGTTTTCACCACAATCCCAAGACACAAATTAATTTTAAAAATATATGGCCCTAACCGGTTTGGCTCAGTGGATAGAGCATCGGCCTGCGGACTCAAGGGTCCCGGGTTCGATTCCGGTCAAGGGCGTGTGCCTTGGTTGTGGGCACATACCCAGTGGGGAGTGTGCGGGAGGCAGCTGATCAATGTTTCTCTCTCATTGATGTTTCTCTCTATCCCTTTCCCTTACTCTCTGTAAAAAATCAATAAAATATATATTTTTTAA